TTCCGATACTAAATTTATTGGGAAATTGAGATAGAAGTAGAATTACTCGAAGTTTTTAAGTGATAAAGTGTTGCTTGTACTTTTAAAGAGAAGAATTAGATTTCTTTTCTTCCTTTTTTTATGAATTTGAAAGGGCTAGACACGACTTTATGTAGAAGCTCGTATATAGGAAATTATATAGAGAATTTAACATTCTATGGACTTAGTAAAAACATTAAACAAGCCTAGAAAAAATAGTACTGAATTAAATGAATGACAACCAACTCCTTGGAATTAAATAATGACTTTTGAATTAGGTTTTTCCTCACAATATCCTTATGAAGTATTTTGGCACATTCACTTGGTGTTTGAGGAAAATATGTGATATCAAAGGGTAAAGAAACAACATAAGCTCGTCGTCCTATCCGCTAATCTATTTGCTTCTTTATAAATATGAGTGAGTTGTACTCGTCATTCTTTTTTCAAAGTCGCCTTAATTACGGTAACTAGAGACCCATAAGTACCCATTCTTCTTGTGTATGATTAAATCACTCGAATAACAATAACGAGTCTATCTCTATAAACACATATCGATAACCTATGTTCCAAGCCATCTCTAGACTACATAAAATACCCCATAACTTAGCACAAAGCACGTAACACACTTCAATATTGTGAGAAAAACCATTCGACTAGTAACCATTGGAATCCCTAAAGACCCCTCCCGATGCGAGCTTCCCTCATTCAAGCGCAATACCTCATCCGTATTGATTTTCACCCATCCCCATGTTGGATGTTTCTAAATAATCAATTTTTCTTGTTGAAACTAAAGTGTTACGCCCAAATTTACAACCATTGACACAATATTCATTATATAGGAAACAAATTAAAAAATAATATTTATCGAACTATTCGACACCACAAACGTAGTGTCAAACAATCTTTTATTTCACTAAGACCACAAGAACTAGCAACAAGTCCCGAACCAAGTACTCCATGGCACCACCCCCTATAGAAAGATTCCCGGTGTAATTAAGGTTAGGCTCTAACCAATCCCTTAAACCCAACTCGAAAGATAAGCTGAACCTTTTAAATTGCTCCACATTTGCTGAGCAAAAGGACGATCATGAAGAACATACAAAGTAGTTTCGGGAATTGAAATACATACCGAGCGGGCGTTGGTTGTGCTTGAATGGCGATGTTGTCTTTGAGCATTGGTGAGAAGATAATCTTGTGCAACCAGGCATAAAAAGCTTTATATCCTTTGAGGGCCTATCTATCTCCAAATCGGATCCTAAAATCTCAAGTTATGCCTAAAATCTCAAGTTATTCTTAGTGCTCGGAGAAGAAACTGTCGAATAAGCGGAGCTGGTGGAAAAAGTGCTATCATTTGTGTAAGCCCAACAAGGAATATCTTCCCCATAGGTAAGTTTGGGTGGAATTGATCCTACAATTCTCAACACAATGGATGATGGAAGCCGATGCATAAATTTCTCCCACAACCAAGCTCCCTCGTTTGAGACATACCGATTCACTATATCATTTAATAAGGCTTCGAGCACCGGAGCGAGTATGGAGTTCCTACAAAGGATGGAGACTTGACACCAATTTGTCCGCCCAAAACCTCACTCTAACTCTATTTCTATTTCTAATTGATCAAAAAACACCTTCACAAACATGGCTCCACACTCGACTAATGCTTCTCCAAAGATTAGACGCACCATGTCTTTGAACCGAGCTCGAAGACTACTATGTGAGAAATTATACTTGTTACATTAGATCCGAACCCACCAAGCAGTCTTATTTGACAAAATATTCCAATTGATCTTCTTTAATAACGCATCATTGACATTGTTTAGATTTCTCAAACCTAAGCCCCCTAGCCTCTTGGGTTTACAAATGTTTTCCCAAGAATACAAATGTATTTTTCGTTGAGAACCGAATCGCCCCACATAAAATCATTATAAAGTCTATCGATAAAAGTCATCATGGAAGCCAGTAGATTGATTGATCGCATATTATACACCGGAATAGCCGATAATACTAATTGAGTCGGTGTTACTCGTCCCGCAACGTGAAAGATGCTTAGTTTTCCGACCGGACAATCTTTTAGCCATTTTATCAATCACAAAGCCATAAGTTTCCTTGTTAACTCGTTATGATGCAAAGGAACCCCAAGATACCTTCCCAAGTCATCACTTAACCGAAAACTAGGCTTTTTGCTGAGTAATCTAGCCTTGCTCTTTGGGATGTTATTGCCACCACCATTAATTTTATTTATTAAAAGATGGTGCTTTTTATTCTATAGACATTCATGTCATTTTTTTCCTACTCGACTAAATTAAAATATTTGAATATTATAAAGACCAAATTTCAACTTCACGTTATCTTCAACTTTGAGCAACAAGTAGTAGCTTAACCCACTCGTAAAATAGATAGCGGATAGGTCAAAACAAATTCAAGTAGAAATCTTGAATTTTCATGCTTTTTTCATCCTAAAATTATAGATCATAGTATAATAAACTAAGTAAAGTGTAAATTAATCCAAAATAACCCATTAAGCATCATGTTTGTCAAACAAAACATGAAAATTTAATGGAAAAATCAAATACGAATTTCAAAGCAGTCTTAATCTTCGGTAATTTTTCATGTCAAACTCTAGTCAATCTATATATTTCAAAACCATGTCAATTTTCAAAAAATATGTTATAAACATGTTTTTCCTTTATCTACTTAACGCCAATCAAAATTCTTCTTCTTCTTCTTCTTTAACAAAATTGTATTTGATAGAAGACAACATATGCATGAATTTGGAGAATACATATGAATCAAATTAATGATTGACAACATTAAGTGAAGGAAAACATGAAAGGCATACTAGTCGTTGTGGTTAAAAAAAAAATTAATTAGAAAATGAAAATCCCATTGTTAAGAACCAAAATATCAATAAAATTGAAAATGTTAATACTAGTTTAGATTTTAATTTTAAATTCAAATGCAAAACAATCACACGATTATATAAGATAACTAACTTTTCTTAGTAAATTAGTTGTTTGACATCTCATTGAAATGTAAAATATTATCATTTTTTTTCATTGTTTAGCTTTTTGATGACTTTTTTTTTTTTTTGGTTATAGACTATCAATATTAATTAACATTCAATAAAAAACAAGTGATCAAAATCTCACTCGTCTCGAGTTTCAAGATTAATTCTTGCAAGTACGTACATCTCTCTTCTCTTTATTCTCTCCGAAAAAAATCAGCCGTAACTTTTCATCTTCTTAGTCCTCTCTTTTTTTCCTTTTTCTTTGTTTTATTTTATATTTTGTTTTAGCGCCTTGACAATTTAGATTTGATTTGTACATAGAGTTTTTATTTTGGTAAGATACTTTGTCGTTAAAGTAAAACATTAATGTTTCTTTACTCAGTGGTTGGTGGGACACTCTTTGGGAATTTTAAATGGTTGTAATTACTCGATAACGAAATTTAATAGTGCGGTTTGTTCATCTCTTGATTTATGTATGATGTGCAAAAAAAAAAAAAAAAGTCATATGAAATAGTTTTTATTGGACAAAAAAAAAAAAAAGAAGAAGTCTCATATGAGAAAGTCCTCATTGGAAAATTTTAAATTTTAATGAGCTTTTATTAATGTTTATGAGTATACTAGACTATTTTATACATGAAAGATCATTATTGTAAAAAAAGTTTTGCCTGATTTTTTCAATATAGCAAGTTGCAATTCTCTTTTTATTTTTTATATCATTGTACCATAAATGGTACATTTAATGTTGTATTTGTTTGATTTGTAGATTACAATAAGTCATATTCAAATTTTCAACTTTATGGATGAATTCTCTACGAAGGATTCACTTACTTATACATCAATTCATTGTTGACTTTTTTAGCATCTACTTGAAATCTCGAATATTATCGATTATCACACACATATATATAATCCTTTTATTTTGTTTTTTATTGTAAATCATTTACATTTTAATAAAATATAAGTCAATTTATCAAATAAATTATACTGTCAAAAGATATTTGGATTTACATAATGGTAAAATGGCAGAAAAAATAAAAGGGCCCACGCAAGCGTAGTCAATACGTAGAAAACTTCCATAACGATAATTTAGTTAAACTACCAAAGATATCAATTGAAGCTTTTATTCATAGTGATAAAAAAGACTCCAAATCTTGCATATCTTAGCACCCCACCACATGCGTAAAGTTAAAGAAGACATTGACCTTATTTAATTATTGAGCTAATTTCTTGACGGGCAATCTGAAGGAGAAAGTGCATCTCATGTTGATGTTCACAAATGCCATTTTTCTTTTCATAGGTTTATTAAAACCAGCGCCAAGTTGATGTTCAAAATTACTACCATGTTTTATTTTCACTTCATCATGCCAAGTCACGTACCAGATTAATGGCTTTCGGCAGGTAAGACGACGGGGTTGCTTAATTTCAACGTCAAATCTCAAGTATAAAAAAAATCAAGAGGAAATAACATCTTTTAAACTTTTTTTATGGTGAAGATACAATTGCAGCCCTACCTTTGGAATCAAATATAAAAAAAGTGAAGATATCAAGGCGGCAGCACGTGCGAGGCTTTAATACGACCACGAGTCATTGTTATCAAACCTAATTCTGGTTGCATGTTGATTTGCTTAAAAACGTGTGGCTTAAAACGGTAAGGAGATCAAATTCAGCTCACCTAAGATGGAGATAGGCCATGATATACAAATATATTACCTTGTTGAGCGAAAATTACAATTGAGATGTAATATACTAATATCGTTGATCGAAAAAGATGAGCAATTATACAAACTACTATATATATATATATATTTTTTTTTTGGGGCTGAAAATAAAGTACAGGTTCTTGGTATTGAACATCAAGCGTATGAAGAACACATCACTATAGCCATAGCATATGAAAAGCAGCCATGACTAAAACAGGGACCTAGGCTGCTGCTGCTGTTCCTGTGGTTTGTTACAAGAAGTCCGCCAAATCCTCCTAGTGCATAAGAGCCACAGCAGCTTCCTGTACTAAAGGTTGACTTAAATGCACAAAATGCTCAGCTTCCCTCTCAACCTGCTCCCAACACCGGTCAGCACTCTTCCCTTCCTTCATCTTCTTCACAAATGCCACAAAGCGTCTCCAGTTATCCGGTTGGAATAAGTGCGGGTTCATTCTCAAGTACGTAAAAGCACACATCCCCCTATCGTCTGAATTCTCACCAATATTTAATGATGATGCCTGCAAAATTTGCTCATGTGCGTACTCATCATATCTTGGCAGTGCATTTTCCCCGGCAAGAGGAACCCCTGCTTTCCGAGCTGCTAAAGCCACTTGCCTCACAAGCTTCTCAGGGGCACAAAGGGCATCCTGTGGCTGTTCATGGTCACGCATCTCTATGCAAGTGAAATTGAATATAGCGCCATGCCGAGCTAACATTTGAGCAATAGGAAGGTAACCATCTCTTAATCTTGTGTTGTAATATCCTGCTGTGAGCTCTGGGGCATGAGACCGGCTTCCATAGTGCCAATGAATTCCTGCAATCTTTACCGAGATTTTTACACCAGTGTTCTCGTAGATTGCCTTCGCTGATGATAATATTCTCTCACCATGGTCTAAGAGCATCTGAGAATACCAAGTGAGGAAGAATTCACCATAGGGACTAGTCCAGCCACCGTTTTCTTTTCTGAAAAACTGGGTGTCTTCCGGCCAGTTGTTGTACTCGCCGGCATCAGTCGGGCCTGTGCTACCCCATTCTGGCTTACCAGCAGCTTCAGCTGCTGCTTTCAAGCTGCTCAACATATACTGCATCATGTTACAGATACCAAGTAAGAACCAGAAGATTACAAGTTGGTGTTTTAGTTTGCTTACGAAAGTAAAACAGAATTTAAATACCTTATCATAACATTGGAAGGCTCCAATTCCTGGAAATCTCCAAGTTCCATTCTGCTCAGGGTAGGAGGGATAGCGGAGCTCACCTGCTGGACCCATTCCCACTTGGATTTCCTGAATACAACAAATTCTAAATAGTTTAGACAACAAACTTCTTTCAAAACGGATGACAGCATGATCTAATTTGTTCAAACTCTATCAATTCATCAGCAATGATGACAAATTATATTGTTTTGAGTGCTAAAAGGGCCCTAATATCCCTAATTAAGCAAAGATGCAGCCTAAAACACAGATTAGGTAGACAGATTACACTAAAAAAGGTTGAAAGCTGTAATGGAACAAATGGCAATGAATAAGTAATTACCACAATGGTGTCACCAAGAAGGTGTTTGAAGTTGTCTCTAAAGGCCCGCATAAAATCAGAGTAACATTGCACAGGCGTCCTCCCCTTGAGAACCGGAAGGTTATCGCACCCAAGTGATATATACTCATAATTCCTCCTTCCCCACTGATCAGTGTATGCAAGATCTTGATCTTTATGAATCTCTTCCACAGCCCACTTAGGTAATGGAATCCTGCGCCAAGATGCCAAAACGGATTTTACATTCAAACTCTTTTAACAGTTACTTTTACAAGCAAACCAACGCCCACGTGAGCTCAGGCACATGTGGTGAGCAAACAGCGCGTGTATTGCACGCTCATAAATAAAAGGTGAAACTAAATTCAAAAAGTTAAAGATAAAAAGAGGAGGAAATTGAACATACGTGCACGAGTCCCCAACGTTGCCACCACACTGATGAAACGACATAACAGCTTGAACCTTCAGACCGTGTCGTTTAGCCATTTCTAAAAGTTCGGCATACCCTCCCCAATTATACGCACCAGGCGTATCTCTCTCCACCAATCCCCACCAAACATCCATCATCACCCCCTCAACACCTGCACTCTTCAACGCCTGCAAACTAGCATTCATCGCTTTCTTTCTATTCACTGTGTTCCCCATCGTCACACTATCCAACGGCATCATCACATAAACTGGCACTCCCTTCTCCTTCAATGTCCTCCCCTCTTTATACATCTTCTCTTGTCTCGCTGTCTCATCCAATGTCACAAAATCCATTGTCTCTGTCGCGAATGCTCGGCATGCCACTGATAGATCTGGACGGATGCCGTTGCTTGCGCTTAGTATTGGAGACCTGCAAGGGCTTGATGGTTGTGAGTTTTGCTCCATGGTGTCTGGTTTTATGATTTTGCACCGGATGTTTGGTGTTGGAGTTTTCCACACCGCCGCTGCGCTGACTGGTGCGGTGGATTCACTGACGGTGCTTGTGCTGGTTAGTGATTCTGCTTGGATTGGTGTTCCCGATAGAGCTCCGATCTGATGTGTTATATTCATTGCCATTTCTGTACAAATTACACAAATAAAGAAAACTTATCCTTTTCTTTTTCCGTTGTACGAGAGCTGTTGAATTTTGAATCTGTAGGAAATGAAGAAACAAAGGAGGGATGGCGAGTTTCTTTATAGAGACTGCGAGGATAAGGTTTAAAAGAATCCCTGTTGCTGTCCCGCAAACGAAACGACACGTGTCTTTAGTGACACGTGGCGGAAAGAGAGGCGCGATGAAAGGCGACGGCTACGATTTCTCTTGTGCACGTGAGGAGGGACGGTGCGATGCGAATGCGCGTGAAGTAAAGGACGGCAACACGGTTTTTTAATTATTATTTTTGGGAATTTATTTTCGCGGTTTTTGATTTTAAAGGAGGAGCGGCGAAGGGAATGGAGAGACGTGAAAGAACGTGATTGGTCGCGTGCTCCTGCCCTTTAGGCTTAACTCTTAAGGCTTGTGTTAATTGAGTGAGGCTCTTTTTTCCTTTTTTGTCCTTTGGTTTATACGGCTACTTTCACGTCCACGCAAGGATTTTGAACTCATGGTTGTCTTTGGTGGAGAGGTTTGGTGGCATGTGGAAAAATGTGGAAGGTATTGGGTTGATTTGATTCTGGAGAATTCCATGATTTGGCGTTACTTCATTTTGATGCCTTGATTGAATAATTGATTGATAAAGGGGGCTGACAAGCCCATAAATAGAAGCATAGGGCTCCCATAAGGCCTAAAGTTGTGAAATTGGTGAAACAAAGCAAGCCCAATTCAGAACCAGTTGATTTTAGGAACATTCCAGAGATCTCGTGTCCCCAAATGCATACAAGTACTTCAAATTTAGCTAACTCCATAGGTAACCCTCGAAGAGAGGTGAGGAGGAGTTGCCGCCAAAAACACAAAAGGATGTATCCTTTGGTCGTACAAATTTCTATTGAATTTTTTTACAGGAACCAATGGGTTAAAGTATATTTTGAAATAAATTATTATTATAAACTAACTATGGACAATAAAATAACAATTTTTTTTTTTTTGGGAGAAACTAATATATTTTATCTGTAACAATCTTTAAATTTATTTAAAGATTATTATTAAAGTTAAAATGAAAATTGCACCAATTAATTTTCGGAAGGTTACCCCATGCCTCAACGTAGATCGGCCCCGCAGTCCTTGTCTCCTTGACACTCATTGTAATTTGTAAAACTATTAGCTTAAGGAGAGAAGAGGATATGATATGTATATGTTAGCCGACACACTTTCCAGCCTCCGTCAGATTGGATTCGGATTTATTTATTTATTGATTCCGTGATGAGATGGATTATATATCTGCTCAGTTGTTTTCTACTTCTTCTAACCTTATTTGATATTAATTTTTTTTATATTGCTATTCGTTAAAAAACGGATTACAAAACGAAGATATATATAAGTGGATGAGTAAACACTATGCATGTAAGGTTTCGTTTGTTGGGTGAAAAATAACTTTTATAAGAAAATTAATTCATGAGAAAACTATTTTCTAAGAAATTTTTTTCAAAAAACTATTTTATACTATTTGTCAATTACATAAAAAAATTACTGAAAAATACATTCCAACATTTGTTTGATACATAAAATTAAAATACAAAAACAGTATATGATTGCTACATAATCAAGTTTTGAGAAAACTTCAAAAATGCATATTCATAATTTCATAATATAAGATATATTTAGAAAAATTTAATAAATTTTCATAAATACCGACTCTAAAATTTTAATTCAAAAAAAATAAAATGTATTTTTTTAACCATCAAACCAATTCATTAAATTATTTGAGACAAAATCAAGTCAATATTTACATTTAGTAAAAGAAAAAAAAATTCTAAGTAATCCTAGCATTGATATTTTGGTAACTCAATTAAGCATTCTTTCTTCTTTTATTTTGTTTAGAAATTGAACTAATAATTTAGTCTAGAAAATAATTTTATAAATTATTAGTTATCATTTGTAGATAATTATTCATTTAGTTTCAAAAGATTAATGTTAGAATAATTTGTAACTAATTATTCACTACAATTACCAACAAAATTTTACAAGTGATTAAAATTACAAATTATTGATTTACTTGCAAATGAATAGTGTTGAAAAAATAATGTATTTATTAATGAATTAATTAATTTCAAATTTTTTACAAACAATTACGAGTCTTGTAATATTCATTTTCAATCATTTAAATATAGTGTAAGTCATGTTTGAGATAATAGTAAAAAAATAAAGATAAATTATTGAAATATTTATTGTAAAAATAATTTTAAGGTGTAAAAATGATTTTTAAGAATATTTAATGTATCTATAAATCAAAAAATCAAATATTAATAGAAATAGAGAAAAATAATTAAATAATAATTGATAAGGAATAATTAAAAATGAATTTGATATATTTTAAATAAAAAGAAGATATAGAAAAAAAATTGTTAAAATATATATCGAGAGAAGTAAGTAATGCGAGAGCGAGACGACTCGTGAGAAGGAAAATGTTTTTCTCTTTTTAAACTAGAAAAACATTTTTCCATAACTATTCTATTATTTTTCATTGACTGAAAATTATTTTCTGTTAATTTTTTTTTAAAACACGAAACTAACACTGGAAAACGAGAATACAACCTAAGTAGTAGTTAGTGGCACATTTATTATACAGGTGTTCGATTATCAATTTTGATTTTTTAATTGCATAAGTTTATCGACTGCTATTAATCTCATAATTATTTATTATTGAAATCAAAATAAAATTATATATTTATATGTTTCTCGTAATCTTGTGAACTCTTTTCAACCATATTATTTAACAAAAAGTTATTAAGGTATTATAATTTGATACCTTTACTTTCTAAAACATCAATTCAAATTGGATAAATGAATGAGGACATTTCTATAAAGGATACAACAGTGATACTGCTCTTTTATTATTATTAATATTATTATTTTTACCCGACAGGCGAATTAATTTTTAGCTCAGCCGGAGTCAATACTCTTGTGTTTTCCGAACCAGCCTGAGATTCCAATGAATTACCAAGCATCGGAGACCATGAGAGGAAATATAAATCTTTTTTATGAAAAAGACTCCCCTTTTCTTTTGGTTTCTTGTTACTGAATTCAACTTTGGGCTTAGCAAACATGGAGTGAAAGAGACATGCCTGCCAAGCATAATTAATTAACAGCAGCAAGAAGAAGAAACAAATCAGCAAGGTCATTATTAGGCATGCATAATACTGGAAAGCCTCCAAGGACTTGCAAACATTTGTCTTCATGATAAGCAAAAGAAAATTCTATTAAAGTAATAGCCTGACAATTGCCGAAGTAACCACCGAGGTGTCATGCACTAGTTTGTTCAAATTGGTCAGGGGAGATTTGCCACGGAAATTGGCTTCACAAGAACTGGCTTCAACGGCAGCATCATTTGTACCGCTTTCAGCAAATTTAGGGTCGCCTTTCTGCAGGGCTTCAATAGCTTCCGGGATGTCTGCTGTTAAAATTGCATCGTAATTGCCAGCACAGGATCTCAAAGCTCGCCTTAATTCTGGGCTCCTTTTAAGCTCCTGATTGATGAGTTTCAATGTTGCGCTTGCTTTAGCCCTCACTATATCCACCATAATGAGTGCTAGCCCCTGGACATCTGCTGTGGAGCTTTTAGGGACAGACTTAAGAGAAGTGACACAGAGATTGGAATATGGTGTCTGCTTACATGTTTGAGCTATCAAATTATTGGCATCAGATTGGGCAATAGTGCAATGGCTTAATAGTAAAAGGGTGGCAATGAAAACTGAATGAAAAAGAAGGATGAAACTCAGGGACATAGAATTCATCATCTTCGCAGGATGTTGTGTTTGGGTAAAGAAAATTGCCTTATGCTATTGGGATTGCAAGTGACTGCTGTTCAGGCAAGACGAAACTCTCGCTTTTATAGAGGAGTCTGACTCTGGCTCTTCTCTTCTCCCTTCGCATTTAACTATGTATTTATTACCTGATACATACAGTAGTCATTGATTGTTGATTACTTGATTCGGTTGTTATTATTCTAGTGAATTCATTCGGGAAAGAAACGCGCGTTAAGGGGCAAGATCAGCTGGAAAGGATTAGCTGTTAAGTAGATGGGTAATTGACCACATGTGTTAGTCATTACAATTGTCTTGCATGACAGTTAGTTTGTTAGTCTATTAGCATTAATTAGTTTGCTTGTTGATTTAGTTAGTACTGTATAAATAGCGGGAGAATTGACTAGAGAGGCACTTTTGATGATTGAAACATGCTCTTGAATACAATAGACATACAATTCTTTCTCTCTACCTCTCTCTTTCCTTTTTCAAATTCCAGGGTTTTTGTTAAAGTCTCTAGAGTTAAATCTTAACGATTGATATTAGAGGTTGGCTACCATGAACAATTCAACACTTAATTATGATGAATAATAATAGGATCGGAGCTTTAGAGGAGTAGAATAAGAAGCACGATGAACAACTCTAAGATCCGTAGCATAAATTTCAAGAAAACATGGAAGCTAGCAAGAAACAAATGGAGGAGCAAACATAACAAATATAACTTCAATTTGAAGCTTTAATGGTGATAATCAAGTCAATTTTGGTGGAGAAAGGCATAGGGAAGGAACAAGGATCCCCTTCAAGTTTCTCTCAAGAAGTAAACCATGTAAACAAACCGGTATACCCATGGTATCATGGTGAGTCAATTCGTTCACTCGAATTCATGAAGTCCGGTTACAATGCTTCTATGCCTAGTGTTGACAAGGCCTTTCAAAACCCTCTAATCTCATTGGAATCTTCATCAAGAGAGGAGGGAGATTCAATCGAAATTTTGTCGATGTTGATCTTCCTTCTTTGTTGACGACAACGATTGCCAACACTCTAGAATGATAGAGCGGGACCTCCTCCACCACACGGGTTGGTCCATGCACCTAATGGACCATCGGAAGGTGGTCGAGCAAGGGGCATTTGTGATTGGGTTATCAAGGGTAGTTTCATAATTTTTGCCTTAGGGGGCATTTTGGTCATTTCACCTCTAGAAGGCATTTTGGTCATTTTACATCTAACAAAGGGCATTTCAATCACCTTATAACATTTTTTTGACACTCACAAACAATTACTTCTTCCTTCTTGACTAATTGAAATAATCGGTCTTCATCGAGATTGAATGTAGTAAAGCTGATTTAAGAAGGGACTTATAACATTCTCATGACATTTAGATAACTTTCAAAATTAATTAGATTATTTAAAATGATAAATAAAAATGATAAAATGTTATATTGTGGATGATTGAGTAATCAAATTCTTTGTCCGATTGCGTTTGAGACTTTTACCTATTGTCTATTTGTCCGAATTGAAACTATTGGCAAGTTCTCAACTAAGTAAATGAAGCTTCCTGCAACTTCTAAACTAATTTATATGCTTTTCTATTTATCTAAAATGCAGTTGTCAATGACTTTCTACTTCTAAACCAATTTACATGCTACCAAACGCAACAAAGGTTCCATTGTATGGATTAAAAGAATGCATGGCGGACAAATGGAAGGTTGATCCTACCAAGCCGGTGAAGTCTTTAATTAATAGGGCATGTAGCAATAGTGATTCAGCACCAATGCCAAACCATGAGAGTTCCAACCTTACTTGTTTTTTCCTAAATAAAGAATCCACTTGCCCTTAACCACTTGCCGGCCATACATGTATATTTGAATTCTAAAAAAAGAACAAATGAAAATGAAGGAAAGAATGCCCTTCTTTACGAGGAGATGAAGTTTAAAAAAAAAAAAAACAAAAAACAAAAAAAAACTATGGAAAATGTTATTAAGAAATTTTATCGGTAAAAGGCTCCTTCTTGTGCTTAAGCCACGAGGGGATTTCAAGGAGTAATTGTGGATAATCTTATCAAAATTAATTATCGTATAAAATTTAAAACATTAATTAATTTTTTTGTTTGTTTAGTTAGTGTTGGATAACTAGTAGGAGAATTGACAAAGAGGCATTTTTTATGATCGAAACATTCTATTGAATATAATAGACATAAATTTTTCTCTCTCTTCTTCCTCAAATTCTAGGGTTTGGTTAAGTTCTCCATAGTTTAACCTTAACATTACCTTAAGGTGCTATTTGGTAATCAAGAATAAAGTTATAGGAATGAGAATGAAAATTTTATTCCCATTTTATAGTTGTTTGGTTGAAAAGAATGAAGTGAGAATGGAAATAAAAATTACACACAACTTCATTCTCATTTAAAATAAGAGAATAAAAACAAGAAATGGGAATGAAATTTTTTTCTTCAAAATAATAATATATTTTATTTATTTATTGTATATTAAATACTTTTATCACCACTATAACTACTACAACCATCGCCACCACTACAAACACCACCACCACAACCGTCGTCGCTATCATCGTCATCATCTTTATTATTTTTACAACCATTATAGTTTGATAAAATTATTTTCAATCATTATTTTTATTTGTATAAAAAACTAGATATTAAAAAAATTTAAATTGCATTTCGATTCCTTTTTAATATTACAAACATAGTACGAGAATGCAAATACCATTTCGATTCTCTCATTTTTATTTCAATTTCTATAGTTTCATTTTGAATCTTTCATTCTTAATAAATAAACAACACTTAGGTGTTAAGAGAGTGGTGTCGAGTTCGATAATTTGGAATAAATGTTTCGGTTTTACATTTATCCAATTCACAAACTATCAATTGCATGCAAAGGTTTATTTATACAAATCAAGGTTTTTTTGCCCAAAACTTCCTTAGATGTGCAAAACAAATATAGTTGAATTTATCTACCTTGAAACCCGCGAACTTGGCAAGATTATGACAATGTAACTCAAAAAAGGACGCACGAGAAAAGTTAGAAGGGCGACTCCATAATTGGGAAGAAAGTAGCTTTTCTAAAAAGAAAAATGCTTGGCGACACCATGATGACAAGCACCACTTCTAAAAATAGAAAAGGGTTAGGGGTAAATTTGAAAAGTGAAAATGTTAAATGACATAATATTCATTGAAATAAAGTACCTTTTTTGTATTCCTTCAAAAAAAACATTACCCTTATAAAATTATTATGACTTTTTTTTGACATCATTAATATCATGTAGCATTACTTTTCTAAAAAAATTAATGTATATAAAAGCAAAGGGGACAGTCTCTCTCTCCCTTTGCCCAAAGAAAAAGGACAGTGCTAGAAACATCGAACCTTCATCTTGAAATGCACAAGAAATGACAGGATGAGGTAGCGACAACTCTATGATGCCTGTTCTATAAAGATTGAATCATTCCTTTGCTAAAAGATAATTTTTTAATTGGATTAAGCTACATGGCAATGGCCCTTCTATTTATTGATTGAAATAAATTGTACAAGTTTTTCCATGTAGTAACATAAGAAAGAAAGCAAGAGAAAATGAGTGAAAGATTGAAAAATAAGGTCACTTGCTGCTCCATACAAAGTGTCCTCCTCATCCTAACAACTGCCTTAATTTTGGTTGCATGACTTCATTTACCATCTCTGGTCTTCTGCTCGTGAAATGTAATTCATTTCTGCCAAAGAAACGAAATTCCCGATTTGGAGAACGACATTTGGCGACAAGTATTGTTTCTCTAAGATTCACTCTTTATGTATTTGGTGATAAAACACGTTGCCAAATCTCCATTTATGTCGCTAAAAACTCCAGCCATATGCACCTAGGAACCCAACTTTGTACGTGACACCTTACTGACATGGATGCTTGGTCACGAATGAAGGATAAGTCAAAATCCGCCGCACCAAGTGCAGATTTGCATCATTGATTACCAGAATTTGTCTCCTACTGATCATATTTGTAGGCTTCATCGAAAAAATGAAGAAAGATGGACTGGTTCTTCATGGACAAATTCTGTTCCTCTATGCTGAAGTCATGGGACTCGCAGACTATTACTTACTTGTATCTCTCCTCAAAGGCTCAAATTCAAAGTTGTTTTTGGCACCGCCTTTTACAAAAAGACTTTAACGATATTGTTTTCTTTGGGGCAAGGCGAACAATACTACGACCTAGTCTGATAGGTTCTAAGGGAACAATGGATTAGAAGAGGACTTCAATCATTATAAATCGTCTTTCTAGCATCTTCGTCTTCCTCCTCTCCTGCTCTTCCTCTTGTTCTTCAAAGAGGTATAGAAGAAGCATGAGAGACAGGAGGAGGAGGAAAATCGTTAATCCTTACCTGCAACATTGGCCTCCAATTTCTCTGCTGCCGATTCATACAAAAGTCAATGCCAAAGATGAAATATTGGAGGAAATTAAACGAAAAGCACAGAATAATGCCCGGTATTCCGTTTAATTCCCTCCAATCCTCATGTTTGACATCCAGTCTCCAAGCCGCTAATTCTTAATTACTTCCACCTTTAAAACATTTTATGAGGCTTTGCAGTAGAAATGATCAACACGGGAGGTGGTATTTATAGGCCAGCAGAGTATCACAGAACTCTCATGAACAGAAACGTGAAACTGCAAAGACCACATGACTTGCAAAACACTTCAAGAAACTAATTAAATCGCCAAGCAAGAATCTGTAATGCCAGACAAGATTGTATTTTAGTACTAACCAGTACTGGTATTTTGGGATGCAAGTCAGGGCAGAACTTTGTGAATTATGTGCATGAAACAAGAACTCTATGCTACCAAACCGTTAAAAATGTACATATTTTAATTACAGAACTAAGACCAGCCCTCCTCTCCCTCCCTGTCCATGAACACATAATAACTATAGCAGCAATAATGACAGAAATATATAGAACAGAAATAGAATAAAACCCTATTGTTACATGAATCTCTAGCGTTTTGGTCTGTCCTTCCATCCATTCCCTTGTAAACAGACGGGTCATGCCTTCGTGTTCAAAAAATGTTGCAACTCAGGCCAAAAGTTATTCGCTTAAAAAAAATTAATTACTATACTTTCTACACTTCGTACCACATTGGCATCCCTTTAAACAAGTTTGGCATCAAACACAAAAACATTTTCCACATCTGCTTAGTGCCACCAATGAGCCCCCATTCATTTAACTATAACCATTTAAGTTATGGTTACGAATCAACGCACTACACTGAGAGTTGCAGCTGAGAAACAGACCAAACAAAAGTCTAAAAGGGCTCAAACAATCAAGATAGGAATACACCCAGTCCAACGGATACAAGGCCTGCTTCAAGGCACAAAGTTCATCAGCTAGTCCTACCATTCATTGCATTCAAAACGCGGAAGATAGAAGTATGAACAATCAATGCGTAATGCCTGCAGTGTTACAGTATTACCATACCAGGTTTTAATTCTGATGAACTGCTCAATACTCCCAAGAAAGTTTTTAAAACATAGGATCACACGTCAGAGAGCCTTTCATAGAACAACCCAGAGACATCTTTAATAGATCTTGAGGTTATCACTAGTACTGAATACCATAAAAAGCAACTATTTCCAAGTACTACCTACATCTGCATTACAATGCACCAGAAAAATATTCCTAGCAAACTCAACAGTATGCCATCAAGACACAAATTCCACAAAAGCCATCCAGTATCTGAGAGGTGACTGCAATATCCTCACTCCTAATATTCATCAGTCCAAATAGAAGATCATAAATTGATTTAAGCCGATTGTTTAAGTAGACATTAAAATGTTCAGCCTCGTTCCTTGGTATATTTCATCACTACCATATAGGCAATAGCATAGATTGAAACACATCAAGCACCAAATCCACTTCTTTTTCCAAAACAAGCACGCATGCCGAATAAACTTGAAAAAGCAAAGAATTGACAGTCTTCATAATAGTGGATTTGATGCCCCAAGCAGCACGACACAGTTGTAAACATACGCAGCTTATAAAGCACTACAAATTTAAGCACAGTCTGTGCCAGATAAAAGTATCATAAAACCAAAGAACACATCTGCCTAAACATGGATCTTTTATCATATTTATCCGAAAACCAGCGCTAATCTACAGACCCATTGGCTGTTTGACTACAAATCCAGAACACTACAAAGAATTCAAATGCATCTCCCTACACCCAATAACAGAATTAAATGAAAACTCCCGTTTGCAAAATAAGTCCATCAAGTTCATCAAGCCTAAAGCTAAAACAAGCAAATGAAGAAACCCAATCCCAACGTGATCAAGGACCCGTAATCAAACCAAGCTTTATCAAACAGTAAAAGACACCATACTAGAACCAATAAAAACGAGAATTTCTCCAACCCTACAGATATATAAATAGTACTCAAGTCTCGGGAATAAAACAACCAAAATCAAATAATTGCAAGCCAATAATTCCTTCACATCTTGCCTTCTCCGATTATTGCACCATATCAACATAAACCGTTCAAAAAGCCTCAATTTTTCGCTAAACCTTCTACAGCAATCAAACACAATTTCATATTAATAATAAAAACAATAAAAATAATAATAGTGATAATAACAATAAGAGATAATAATACTCTACTAGATGTATCTGCTTAATAGTTAAAGCAGAACAAGAGAATCCAGAGACATAAAAATATAATAAGTTGTCTTTCTTTCCCTCTCTACTCTCCAAACTTAAAAAGCTAGAAAAGCCAAGGTAGGTACATAGAGGATCAGATCAATTGATGTCGGTATCATCGAAATCGTCTTCGAAATAGTTGAAGAAATCGGCGTCGGCGAGCTTGTTTTCCATGTTGATGACTCCCTCCCCGAACATCTCCAGTGCGTCCACGTCATCTACGTCCATCGCCACCGTGGATCCTTGATCTTCCATGTCCGCAAAGAAATCTACCTGCATAGGCCTCATCCCTCTCTCACAGCAGAGAAGGGATTCACTGATCGATTTGAGCTAAAGCTAGACAAATTAAAAAACGAGCAAGGGTTCTATTTTACTTTCTCTGTACAAAATCACGAACTGATTAAACGCCGACGTTTCGTTTAAAAAGCACCCAGGTACCAGCTCCTACCACGGAATACATACCAGGACCGTTTACGGCACCGTCTAAGATCCAGTATTGAGTAGCCTAATTGATTTAAGGGTGCGTTTGGTATAGAGTTAGGAAATAAAGGAGAAAATGTTTTTTTTTATGAAATAATAAATTTCTATTTGTTTTTCATATCCACACTACTCATAATTCAATTCAATTCATTATTCAATATGAGAAATTGAAAATGTGATATAATTGATTCAATAATTTATGTATTTTTAATTATTTATAGCCCTTTTCAATTCTCTTTCTAATTTTAAAGCCTATAAATAGGTTTGATTGGTCATTAGTTAATGTACAAGTATTTTGTATAGATTAAGAGAATTATTTAAAATTTTTATCTTTCTTATTCACTTTATTCAATAGTAAATTCATTTTCTCTTCGATTCTACTATTGTTTTTATTTCTTTTACAACACGTTATCGGCATGATTGTTCTACCAAAAGACGCAAATCGTCTAAACTATTAAGAGGTATGCATATAATTTATCTTGTACTTTAAATTTAATAGTACATATAGTATACATTTGAAAAACTTGAATGATCTAATATATATTCTAATGATCTAATGTATGTTGTTTGAGAAGTTTTAATTTTATTATTATATTTATTCTTATTTTCTAACATTATTATTATACCTTATATTATAGAATTTTATCACATTAAACCTCATAAAACTTGATTTTGTTGTCCTTGACGTTTTAGGCAAGAATTATTTATCATGAGTGTTTGATGTTGAGATACATTTAAATATTAATAGTCTTGGACAAATAATCATGGATGATAATCAAGAATCCTTGCAAAATCATACTAAGGCAATGATTTTCCTTTGTCATTATCTCCGTGAGGATTTGAAAACTGAATATTTAACAATAAAGAATCAATTTGAGCTGTGAAAAAATTTGGAAGAAAGGTACAACCACCAAAATATGGTAATTTTTTTCAAAAGCTTTGTTATGATTGGATGCACTTAAGATTAAAAAATTTCAAAACGAGTAAGTGAGTGTAATTCGTAGTAATTAGAATTAGTTCTCAACTAAAATTATATGTAGAAAATATTACCGATTCGGATATGTTAACAAAATCATTCTTTACTTTTTCATACCTTGAATATGCTCTTATAGTAGCAATATCAAGAAAAAAGTGTCAAGAAATACTTTAAATCAATTTCATATTTACTTGTGGCCGAACAAAATAACGAGTTGTTGATGAAAAATCATGAGTCCCGCTTAACTATGTCTATTCCATTCCTTGAAGTGAATGTGACATCTTGTAACAATTTTAGACGTGGATGAAGAAGTGGTCGTTGCCATGTGTGTGGACGTGGTCGTGGCAATATTTATAGTTACGGTCGAAATAATTATTCATTATAATCATGATAGTCATAATAATACTTCTTGCGAACAAAAGCGAGATAAATTATAAAAAGAAACAAAAAAGAATGAAAATGGATTAAGTAAGCATTTCAAAAATGAATGTTATAGATGTGGTATGAAGGGACATTGGTAGCGTACCTATCGTAGGCCAAAACACCTCGTTGAGCTTTATCAAGCTTAGTTGAAAAAGAAAAAAAGTAATATAGAGGAAAATTTTATATATCAAAATAATGATTGGGACAATGCTTCTCTTGCAGCTTTAAATAATTTGACACATTTAGATGTTGTTGATTTTTTTGAAGATTCCGAAAGAAAATATCATCATATTAATAATAATCATTAAAATTAATATCTTGTTACCTTTTCTTTTGATCAATAAAGAAGTTTTATGTTTTTTTATAATCTCTATTGCATCGTGATAGTTACAAGTTTTTTATATTTATTTATATGTTTATTTGTTTGTTTGTTTTGTGTTTATAAAGAATATATGGATACTACTAAGTTCACAATTGATTTGAATATTATAGAAGAGAATCTATGTCTCATAAATAGTGCAACAATACGTATTATACTTAAAAATAAAAGATATTTCTCTAATTTAATAATGGGCAAGGCTAATTTTAACATTATATCCGGCGAGTGTCAATTTAATTAAAGGCTATAAAAGAGCAAATGTATTATAATCTAAAGAGACAAATTTGATTATAAATGATGCATTATTCTCTCCTAATTTCTATAAAAATTTGTTGAGTTTCAAAGATATTCATCTAAATAGATATCATATCGAGAGAAAAATGTTGAGAATATTGAATACTTATATATTACAAAAATTACATAATATATTGAAAAAATTACATGCTTTCTCTTCAGCATTTATTACATTAATATTCCAACGATTAAAACAAATGATGAGTAAACCGGAAATTTACTAATTCTTTTATTTTTTAGCATGATCAGTTTGGCCATCTTGGATTCTTTATAATGCAAAAAATTATTAAAAATTCATATGGACATTCATTAAAGAACTAAAAGATTCTTCAATATAATGGGTTTCATGTCTTGCATGTTTTCAAGACAAACTTATTATTAAGCCATCATCAAATAAAATTAGGATTGACCCAGTATTTTTAAAATGTATTCAAGGTGATATATGAGGGTCAATTCATCCACCATATGAACTATGTAGATATTTTATGGTTTTAATAAATACATCCATAAGATGGTCACATATATGCTTATTATCAATTTGAAACTCGACGTTTTCGAGGTTACTTACTCAAATAATTTGATTATGAGCACAATTTCTAAATTATACCATTAAAATAATTTGTCTTGATAGTATTGACAAATTTACCTTTCAAGCATTTAATGATTACTTGCATATTTGAAATAAAGGTTGAATAACTTGTTGCTCATGTTCATACTCGAATCATTTATTAAAAGCCTCCAATTGATAGCTAGATTATTACTTATGAGAACAAAACTCCCTATTTATATTTGGAGACATGCAATTTTATATGTAGCAATATTTATTCGTATCGAGTCCACAAGTTATCGAAATTCTCCCATTTTCAATTGGTTTCTAGTCATGAGCCTAATATTTCTCATTTAAGAATTTTTGGAGGTACGAGTATATGTCCCAATTACTCTTTCACAACAAACTAAAATGAGTCGTCGAGAGGAGATCGAAAATATATATTAGATATAAATTTCTTTTATAATTAACTATCTTGAACCATTAATAGGGGATGTTTTCATCGCTCAATTTTTCAAATGTCATTTTGATGAAATAATTTTTTCAATATTAGAGGGAGAGAATAAACAAAATAAGTAATTGAAAATGTTGAAAAAATAAATTATGTGAAAGACTTCATCTTTATATCATCTTGATCCTCGCATAAAATAATGTGAACTTGAAGTTCAATGGATAATTCATTTACAAAGTCTTGCAAACCAATTGCTAAATGCATTCTCCGATCCGAAGAGAGTAACTAAATCGTATGTTTCCTCTAAGAATACTCCTATTAGAATCAATGTCCTAGTAGAATAACCTATTAATCAAATGAATCTAAAGTACGAAGCATAGAAAACCAATCGATTCTAAAGATAAAAATCCTCGAAAAGAAAAAAGAGAAAAATAATCAAGATGAAAATGCAAAGAATGTAGATAAAATGATCCACGATACTTTTGATAACGAGCTTCAGAAGAAGCCCAAATGCTTGAGGAAAAAAAATTGATAAATTATGTTAATACAAGGAGAAATTGAGACTAAAAAGAAATATTTATTGATAACATTTTTACATATAATATTGCAATTGATATTATGAATGAGGATATTAAGCTTACATC